CAAGGCCGCCGACACGTCCCTCCTGCCCTCGCGCAGCCCCGCCTGAGCCCAGGACGGGGACACCCAGAAAACCTGCCTACGGCCAGGTCATGGGGGGCTGACCTCCAGCCTGAGCCCGGGGCGAGGCAGGAACCTGCATCACTGCGGCAAGAGCCTCTACCCGCCCACGATGTACCACCATGTACCACCGTTATTATCCACCTAACGAGTATTTAGCAAGGGGCCATGCCGGCAGCTTGCAGCTCACTGGGGCGAGACTAAAGCGGCACGGTCCGGGCAATCCAGACCAAGCTTCCTACGCTCCGCCTTGGATGATAAAGCTTTCAGCCCCCGGTTCTCTCAGACTCCCCCCTAAACTCGTACGGCAATATTCAACCGTGAAAGCCGGCTTCCACCGGGCCCGAGCTCTCAGCCTGCCAAGCGAAGGGGCGTTACAGGCCTACGCTTCTGCTTGAAGGTGCGAGGTGTTTATACTGCGTTTGAGCTCTTAAGCCAAATGGCATCTGGCTCGTTTCAGCCCTGGTTCTCCCGAGCATTTACACTAGGACTCCACATTGCATCTCACAACTGAGAGTGGAAGAAGAGCTAGAACTAAGAAAGCTTTAAACTACCATTATCACCCCCTGAATCCTGGCCGATACAAAATTTTGAGAGGCCTCAGTCACCGAATCAGTCCTGGGCATGTCCAGATAAACCAAGTTTCCTCTGGCTGCAGAACATCCTGTACTAACAGGACTCAGTAACTACCCCTTTGCATTAGAACCAGGTTAAAGAATTAGCAGATAATTGGTTTTCCACCCTCCCACGGGTACCTTTTATGTCTAGTGACCTCAGAGTACATGGAGTGTCATGGTACAGCTATAATTGCCAAGTCAAACAATTTCTACTTTACCTGCTGGTCAAAAAGCGCCCAGAACATGGGGAGAGGAATGTAAAGGAAAAGCACCTTCAACACCATCTTAGTTTGAGCAATCAGTCGTTTCTGCAGCAAATGAAAATTAGGCAAGAGGAAATCAGCCAAAAAAACACCCATAACGAGACAGAGTTGCAGCCTGCTATTCGCAGCACAGCAACCAGTAAAGACACATCATGTAACATTTAAAAAGGTCAGGACATGGGTAAGAAAAGAAAGGGGACAGGCTAAGGTCTGCGCTGCCGTTGAGAACGGGGTAGGGTGGATAGGGGAGGCAAGGGATGTGGCCGGGGACTGTGGGACACAAGGCTATGAAAGGCAAGGTAAGGAGCTTGTACTGAGGCCGGGGGATGCAGTGTTTATCCACTTAAGCTGAAATTCCTAAGCATAATTCTGCAGTCCCGACACAAGTATTATGGCCCTGCACATAGACCATGACAGTCAACACCATGCCCGTTTTTCCCTTCCGCGGTCGTTAAGCCAGCATATTTTTGTTGAAGGCAGTTTACTGCGAGAAACAAAAAGTTGACAAGGATAATGCTTGCTATTTTACTAACTCAAAAACTAATAGGTGCTTGTATTGGTTCAGCAAGGAAAATAGTCTCTTCTTGATCTCCCTCAGGTTTCCCTGGGCAACCTATGACCACACAGGGCATCAACTCACACAGCTCTGCTTTCTCCCATGGGAGCTGGGGTGAAAACCTGCAATCCCAGGGGAGCACTGAGGTTTGGCCAGACCTCATTGGCTTCTAAATGATTGAGAGGCCCAAAACTATTTGCCCAGCACTTGAGGCAATGGATTTGAGCAGACAGAAAAGCAGCTGAGGGTCAGGGGACGTCACAACACAGGAGTGCTCATGCAGTACTTACGTCATACTTCTCACTTGCCCAGTCTAGCCAGTGGTCTCTCTTGGGGAACTCCTTGCTGCGATGCCGAAACCGGTTTTTGATGGCAAACTGCGCAGAAACAGAATTTTATTTTTAAAATAAATTTTATTTATAAAGTAAAACTCTGGCATATTTGTAATGCCAGAAGCTATTTTGTCATTGAAGATGACACTCCTGCTTTAGAGGGTGCTAAAGGTGACTTCTGTTAACTGCTCTAAGCATCTAAAGGAAGATTGTATTTAGGGCCTCACACTGCACATCCAGTGGAGAGTGCACCTGGGATTAGGTGATCCAAACAGCTCAGAGTAGCCTCCCTCAATGTGGGTTGCTGTTAAGAACTTGAAGACCTGCCTGCTTCAGCCTAACTTCGATACAACACTAAACAGAAGAATGCCATATGCATAGGTTTTCAGAGCTGAATGGCTGTAAGTACATTTCACCATGAGAAACTGCATCTTGTAGATATTCGTCATACCTTGACGCTGAATATACACAAATATAGTCCTGAAGAACTTTTAAGGCTTTCTGCATGGAATAACATGCGAGGCTGAACTGGGCCTTTGGGGCAGCACCCTAAGCAATGGCCAAAGCCACCTATAGAGATTTGTTTTTTTTTTTTTTTTTTTTTTTTTTTTTTTTTTACAGTGCTTACAAGACAAGGAATGATCTGGGCTACAACAAGCTGGCAGATCTGCATGGAGAATGAAGCCCGTAAATAACAAAAATCCCCTGATCCCGAAGTTGAGGCATTGCAAAGTTTGGGACATGCAGTGCTATTTATGCAGATTTAGCTCCCTTCCTTGCAGGCTTGCACCGACATGTAACCCCGAGACCTCTCTACCATGAAAAGGTATATTGATCCCAACTGTATTAAATAACATTCTTTTAATAAGCGATAAAGTTTTGCTGATAAGAAATGCTAGTAGCTCTGCTCTTGACTCAGATCAAGGCATGTTTGTCTCTTACTACAGGGCTGCATAAAGGTGCACAAATGAGGAAGGAATGATTCCCAGAAGTTGGGATAAAATTTTACATCACTGACATCTTTCTTTGTCCTTTGTGTATAAATTCACGTATTAACCAAGATATAGATAAATAAAAAGGCAGTCTAAATCTGGAGGTGTCAGTAAGAAGCCTTCTGTAAGAAAAAAGTAAAAAAAATCTTCAGTTGTCATCCTCATGGCAGATTTCTGATCAAGGCAAGTTTACTGAACAGTTTTAAAAATTGCTGCCAGGGTTTTCGGGAATATAAATATTACTTACACCAATGCATTTGGAAACTTGAATCATTACATTGCCTTGAGGTTTAACTTTCTTGTACATTCTGCTTCCAGTTATGAACACAACTACAATATACAAAGAGAAACCAAAAGCAACTCAGGATTAATTGAAAACAGCAACAAATAATCTGGTATGGAACATGTAACAGTCAAGGAGTTACGTCAGGGTGGGAATAAGCCTCCTAAGGAGCAATGAACATGCCTGCTGGCACATTATACCACAAAAGAAATCAAATAAATAGAAGCAATCTGTTGCTATTAAAGACAAAAGGACTAAGTCTGGGAACTCTTAGGGTAAGTCCGCAGTGGATTGTTAGCTTAATTGAGGTATGGCCAAAACAAGGACCACTCAGGACCTTGGCTCTGACCTTGCTGTACCAGATTAAGACCTCTTCACAGGCTCCTTTTCAGGAGTCCTAGGTGCTGCAGCTCACGTCATGCAGGGACACGCAAGGCTCTGCACGAATTGCGGGACTCACCGAAGGGTCCTCAGCTCCCATGCCCAGGCATGTTCTCCGGCCTCACCCTCCCACCCACGGGGCAAGACACGGGCAAACCCCCACAGCCGCCCTCCGCCCCAGGTTGGGCGCATGGGCAAGATGGGGTCACCGGTAGCGGTTGCCTCACCCTGGGTAGGCTCCCAGTCAGGACCATGAAGGACCAGGACCATGAGGGATACCGTGGTACACTGTGGACACAGCGTTAGGAAGAGCCCCCCTACCCCAAGTTTCTTGGTCTTTGTGCTGCAGCAGAAAGGTTTGGGGAGTGACCCTTAGCACAACTAGTAAAAATGCAGGTGTTTGAGAAACACCGATACACCAGTATGGAATTTCTCCAGCGCAGGGACAGTTACCTGGCACAGTTCACTCTATCCTGGACTACAGATAGTTTACGAATTGCGGGACTCACCGAAGGGTCCTCAGCTCCCATGCCCAGGCATGTTCTCCGGCCTCACCCTCCCACCCACGGGGCAAGACACGGGCAAACCCCCACAGCCGCCCTCCGCCCCAGGTTGGGCGCATGGGCAAGATGGGGTCACCGGTAGCGGTTGCCTCACCCTGGGTAGGCTCCCAGTCAGGACCATGAAGGACCAGGACCATGAGGGATACCGTGGTACACTGTGGACACAGCGTTAGGAAGAGCCCCCCTACCCCAAGTTTCTTGGTCTTTGTGCTGCAGCAGAAAGGTTTTGGGAGTGACCCTTAGCACTAGTAAAAATGCAGGTGTTTGAGAAACACTGATACACCAGTGGACACAGCGTTAGGAAGAGCCCCCCTACCCCAAGTTTCTTGGTCTTTGTGCTGCAGCAGAAAGGTTTGGGGAGTGACCCTTAGCACAACTAGTAAAAATGCAGGTGTTTGAGAAACACCGATACACCAGTATGGAATTTCTCCAGCGCAGGGACAGTTACCTGGCACAGTTCACTCTATCCTGGACTACAGATAGTTTCCAAAACCTCAGAGTTTCCATTTTCTCAGAGTTGTCACACTACCTTCAAAACATCTTATTTATACACACAAATATAGACAGTAAATTGCATAATGTACAGAACTTAATGGTATATTTGTGCCTCTCCCCAGCCCCATTATTTTCTCCTGCTAAATCAGTCTCTGCTCTAAAAGCGGGTCCTTCAGGTTAATCCCACCCATCCTCACACACAAGAAAAAAGTGTAAGTCAAAAATTGCAGAAACAATGAGATATTGGTAGAGGTTGATCCCTGAATATTTCTACCACTTTCTTATTATTCTGAGATCATTACCATCTAATCTTGTCTATAACAGAAGCAGCAAGATGGAAACATTTCCACTTACCCAAGGCGACAGCCATGAGAGCAGCAGGAACTCCAAAAGCTAGTGGGTAACATCGCTGTTTGCTGTGGATGCCACACTCTTGAGCTGAAGTAGAAAGTAACATTAGGTAAGAGTCCCAATCAGCACTGCCTTTATTTTACATAGGGTTTCTGTTCTTTGCACTCATTGTTTACTCAAGGGGGGGAGGGGGGAATCATCTCTGTGGACATTTTTGACAGAGTGGATGATCAGTATCCAACTTTCATTACTGAAAAGGGGAATTGCATGTCACAAAAATGGTTGAGGTTGGAAGGGACCTCTGGGGCTCATCTGCTCCAGCCCCCCTGCTCCAGCAGAGCCACCTGGAACTGGCTGCCCAGGACCATGTCCAGGTGGCTTTTGAGTATCTCCAAGGACGGAGACTCCACAGCCTCCCTGGGAGACTTACATTTAACTTTACACCAAGGAGTGAAGAACCCTACTAGAATGGTCAAATGCATGTTCTTCATGAGAAAGGAACTAGACTACAAATGTTTTGGGACAAGTTCATAAATAAAGATGTAACATAAGTGTAGCTTGCTGAAAAAATTCTCAACCACCACCCACCCCCACCCAGCAATAGTCAGTGATTTGATAGTAGTATCACTTTCCTCAGCTGAATTTGTCTGTTTTTTGAGATAGTTTTCACCCTGTATCAGCGTGGAAGTAAACTGCATATTGTGTCTTAACGTGTACACCAAAATGGAAGGAGAACAGATAGAATTTGCTTTAAGCAAATATCTGAAATGCTTCTATGCAGTCTGTTCCAGTCAAGAAATCCAGAAGGGCAGAATTTCAGCCCAGTGCTGCAGGGTTATTCTAGAACTCACATGGTGTTTTCTTTCTTTGAGAAAAACAGCCTTCCTCAAACCCCTGCCAAGCACATCCATACAGCACCAGCTGTGCAAGCTTGCCACAAATCCGTATGCATATGGATCAATGAGTTATTTGCTTTTTGTTTAGGATCACACTATTTGTTGCAAGGGGAAGAGAAAACAACTTTCTCCTTTAATGATACGAAAATATTATTTGCTTTGTCACACAGATAAGTGTGTTCCCACATGCATAGACACTTCTGTACTTTGCATGGGCACACTTTAGAACAGTCTCCACTTCTAGAGTAGAGGACCCTCTCCCCTTTCCAGCAAGGAGTACAACTCTTGCGTGATGGTTTTAAAGGCATTGGAGGAGGTGCCACATTTGTACCTCCATGGAATTAAAACATGCATTAGGCATACAGGTTGATGGCTTCAGAGCATCTCTTCAGATCTAGTACTTCTGATCCTAAAGGGAATTCAGATCTCAGACTGACTTGTTTCTGATAGTACCTTAGCTGTGAGAAGTTGGATGGCATACATGAAAACCTGAAGACTATTTGACACCTTGTCAAGTTATTTGGCAAAGAACAGACTATTCATTTAAACCTAAGTGGACTTCAATCCAACGCTCATCCTTTACTGATGTTTAACTATCTTATAAAAAAGTGTGTGGCCTTACCTCTGAGAATTGGGGTGATTATAGTAGATAAGAGACTTCCAGCATTAATGGACAAATAAAAGATAGAGAAGAATCTAGTTCTTTGTTTTTCCTGCAGTAAAAACAAAAAGTTATTTAGAAAGGCTTAGCCAGAACCACATTGATCAGCAGCCTAGATTGAACAGTTAGCAGCTCTGTTTGCACAGTTCAGGACAAATAGTTATCTAGCTCCTTCTGCTACTCAGGAAACACTACAGTAATGCACATGTCTAAATACGTATATTAAGGTATTATAATAGTCAAACATTACTAAGAGTAGCTGTATGATTGAAAATCTGGAAGACATTGTTACCTGATCATCTTCAAACTGGTCTCCACCAAACGCTGCCACACAAGGTTTGATCCCACCAGTACCAAGTGCAATGAGGATCAAGCCAATCATGGACAGAGCACTGAAACAAAGTAGAAAAGAGAAAAAGGAAAAATAATCATTCCACTTTCTTACTTAAACTGTACGTAAGAGACTGATTGCAAGACAGTTGAAATTCAAGTAGCACAAATTTAAGGCATAAGTTGTCCCACCCTTCATCAACCTGGAAAAATCCCATATACAAGGCAACTCACATGTGCACTGATACATTATCGGGAGAGCCGTCCTGGTTGTGATCTGTCAGGTCATTTATGGAGCTTACAGACATGATCACCTGCCCAATAGTATAGACAATGGACAGGGAGACAATGGTCCTGTTATAAAGGGAGGAGATAAGTTTTTATATATGTTAATACAATTACACACACACAGACTTTTGCCCATTTCAGAGATGCTTAATGGAGAAGCATAGTTAACAGATATGACAAGTTATGGACTCAACTTATCGCAAGCTACTGTAAAAATCTGTCCACATACCTCTGTTACAGTATTTCTATCCTGTTTATTTTTTTATTATTATTACTTTAGCTAGCGTTGTTTAATTAAGCAAACCAAGATGACAAATGGGTTCTGTAGATATCGCCAGGTCATGAGAGATATTTAAGTATCATCAGCGGTTACCTTTTTAATAAGCAACTTGAGTGCCATTATCATATTTCATATGGTGGATTTCAAGTGGACTACTCTGCAACACTGAAGTACGCAGTTTACGCTGATTTTAATGTTTAACTTTTCTCTATATTATTTTATATTTTAACTGCAAGGAGTAAAAAAAAAATTAAAAAATTTAAAATCTACTGTAAACATGGAAACTCCCCCAGAGGTACTGTTGAGTGCAACAACTCTATTACCTGTCTCTCAGTTGCAAGTGTACAAACATCTTTAAGCTCAGAATTGAATGAGACCAGCACTGAAGAGTACAGACAGCAGACTTTCAGCTTGACTTTCCCCCACCATGAGGTGCCTAGGAAGGTAATACTACAGAATCACCAGCCCCCCAAGCCTTTAGGGTCCATTCCTCTTTCCTGTATGGAAGAATAAAGTTCCAACAAAGTTCAAATGGAGTAAAACAAGTGAAGGGTGAGGCTTGGGGACCTAGGACAACCTGAATCTATCCGAGGATGGCAAAGGATCCTTACAGCAATCTTGGAGCACCCTGATACAAGAGTGGCAGAGGAAGCATTGCTCACACCATTGACCAAATTCTTCTCCCTTTAAAACAATATTTTTCTGACTTTTAAAATGCACTTCCCTGTAGCAGGGTAAACACCTATACAAAGTGGGGCAACAGTCAATCTGCTATTTAGTAGATAAAATAGAGCTTCTGTTTTTTTAAATAGCACTTCCATAGAGTTACTTGAGTTGCTTAACAACATGGGAGAAAGTTTCCAATTGAAGTTAAACCTGAGCTGACCAAGAGAGAAACTTCTGGTTTTTATTTGTGAGGCTCATAAGCATGCTGTGAAGACAACATTTAAATAATTTGCACTGTACAGATAGTACCCAATTTAAAAAAAAGTGATTTCTGTACTGTTTTCCCCAAGAACTTCACATCTAATAATATGCGAGGAGATCCCAGCATGCTCCATGGCAGACATCACACAGAATACATGGACTGTGTAGGGTTTGAGTCTCTCCTATGAGAAGTGCTTAGGTAACCTCCTCTTCCTCTTGTCATCTTAGATTTTTTTTTTTTTAATGAATGATGTTTCAGTCTTCCTCATGGCACCCTGCTGTATTTTAGGGCATCTATACATTAAACCTAGCACATTAATTTTTTCCAAAAGCATGTTTTTTCTTGTCGAGCTTAAAGTTTCACTTTTAAGCCCCAAGACATCCTACTGGGCTCCTGTTAAGGGTCTGGTGGCCAGGGGGCTTGCAGCTGTGATGCATAAATACCAGAGAAGGGATACAAGGTCTCAAAGCTTCATCTTGATAGAACAAGTAAAAGCCAAAATCAGATTTTTTTTAAAAACCCAAACATCTAACCAAGTGACTACACATATTCAGGCTGCAGCCTGAATATATCAAGCTACTCGCCATGAGCTTACCCTGATCGGGATGGCTCCAGGGCACACTTGGCAATGGTTGCAGCCCTGGGCTGCCAACACAATGGAAGAAGATGGTGCAGCCTTCAGCTGACCAACTGCACGGCCAGCTTAATCTCTAACCTCTGGGAGATCTTTGACAAGCGTTGATCATTGATCTTGATCTAGCATTCCTGACTCATATCCCTCCATAAAAATCTTTATTCTGCTTTTTTCTGGCAAAGATTAGAAGATCAGAATCATCACCTCAGTAAAGGAGAGCAAGATCAGGCTGTTGGAAATAATTCGGTTACATTTCAAAGCACTTCATTCAGCAGTACTTCTCTGAGCAACTAGCACACGTAAAACACCAGAATTCATCATTTAAAGAAAGAGTTGCAACTCAGTAAAACCTCCCACTGAGCTGTCAAGTCAATACTGAAATCACAGAATATTTTAGAATCTATTCTAAGTCTCAGTTAACAGCAGATAACACAGTATTTCACTATTTCATCAGCCATCTGCAATAGGTAAAGATTCAATCCAATGTAATTACAATCTTCAGTATCTATTTATTTTCACAGCTTGATGAATAGCTTTCCTTAGTTTAGCTTACATTTTGTCCAGATGAGAGAAAAACATGCATCATGCCTAGAAAGCAGACTACTACCCTTAACTGATTAGCAGCACTGTAACCTACATTATCTTGTAGAGCAGTTCCAGGTCTGAGCTAAATCAATTAAAACCTCAAGCTTGCGGGGGAAGCCACAAACAGTCCTGGAGTAGTCAACACCAGCTCTGAAGCTATTCTGGACTGCTGCTTTAGAAGATGGTTTGAGTACCACTGAGCTCAGCTGAGCTTTCATGATTTTTGGTTTTCTGAAGAAGGACTCACTTAAATTTTCCCAGCCAAGAGTCTGCAATGAGTGCTCCAAGGATTGGTGTCAAGTAGCATAGAGCAACGAATGTGTGGTAGATGGCTGTAGACAAGTTGTCATCCCACTGCAGGAAATATTTGAAGTACAAAACAAGCACCGCTGTAGGAAGAACAAAACAACAGGTTAAAAACCAAAGTCAGGGCTGTGTAAGTAATGGTCATCATGAGGAGGCAACAGGACACAGGACATACCTCGCATGCCATAGTAGGAGAACCGTTCGCAGAACTCATTGATGACAATGAAGAAGATGCTCAAGGGGTAGCCAAAGCAGCTTGGCTGGAGGCAAAAGACAGACAGCATGAGCCCAGACAGAGCTGTGCAACACCAACTAACAGCTCACTGCAACCTACAGCTCTAGCAAGCTCAACGCAGACCCAGCAGGTTAGGAGGTTGCATGAGGTTCTGTGGAACGACACTGGTTTACTTGAGCCAAGAGTCAATTCTCACTTTCCTCTCTTGGTCCCCAGAGTTCTACAGACTTCTCAGCTGCTCTTTGCAAGAGATCCTCAGCAAGGCTATATTTGACCTTCAAGTGTTGCACTATGCACATTCGGAGTCTTTGGCATCTAACACAGACTGATCTTGACTACTATCCAAAAAATATGCAAAAAACCAACATTTTGAAAAAAAACCACAAAACCAACCCAAAACCCACCACACCAAACCCCCACAGTACACCAAAGCTAGAAGCCTGGGGCTATAGTTAAATACGTCCAGTTGGGACAGATCAACATTTAAACATTTCATTCAAACAAATCTCTCAGGAAAGCTACCTCTCCTTACAAATACTTGGCTGGATGAAGAATCCTTTATTTCTTCAGGCTTGCTGATAGAACTGACTTTACTCCTAACCTAAAATGGCGTGACATTAACTGCCAGATTTACTGAGCCTTCACTTGCTGTAACAGGCATCTCTACAGTCATCATCACACAGCTTGTGACATGGTTCTTGCCAGTGCAAGAAAGGGCGGAAAAAAAAAGCACATATCAGGTACAAACTTCCAGTTCTACCGATCATGCCAGATTTAACTTCTGATAGCCTACTTTTCTCAGTAGCTAAATACATGATATAATTTCTGTTAAAATTACTAGGAATGAAAGTTGAACATAATCATCCCTTTTTCTTTTTTGTGGGTTTAATTCTGCAAGTTTCAGGTTTCTATTAAGCCTCAAAATATTCCAAAGGTAAAACAGTTATGAAACTTAAGCATGGACAAGAAAAAAAAAGGCACTGTTTGCCTTCATGTTGTGAGGGTTAGGAATCAAAGCAATCCATATCCATTTGTGAAACAAGAAAGTTAACTCTATAGATCCAAAGCAAAGAAGCTTTACATGGGAAAATTCTGCCTCGCATGAGTAAATCAGAGAGCCCACGTCTCTGGCAAAGACTATGGATAGAGCCTTAATGAAAAACACAGCACTTTGAGACTTGCTACAATAAACCTGTTGTGAATACTGCCAGAGAAATGAAAATAAGAGTGGTGAGAGTATTGCTGACTTAGTCAGACTCCGGCATGAGGACGTCAAAGCAGCTTGAAGAGCACTGATCTTTTATCACCTGAACCAAGTATACAGTGTGCATGTTACCGTGGTTCGATAGGCAGCTTCACCAAAAGCACCTGGCTTCAGCTGAGGTGACTGCCAGGTGGGACTCATGTAGCCTTAGGGCAACAGAAATTAGAGGCCTAAATAGAAACTTGTCACTCTTGATTTATCACATCTTCCATGGGCAGAAAGGGGCATCTCCAAAGACAGATCATCCACATGTATCCCAAAATTAGATAAAATTCACTTGAAGATGTCTACTTCCCTCAGCTGAAGATAGCAGGAGCTCTAGAAGACTAGCCCCACTGTGGATGCAGCTTTCAGTGGACTGGAGGGTGGGTTTTTGCTGGCTGCCCCTGACCAGTGGAGATTTGCACATCATAGCCAGGGAACAGGGGCACGCAGGAGAAAGCTCCAGGGTCTTTCACAAGGTAACAGACCCTCTATTTTTCCAAGATGATACAAGCAAGAAGAAAATGTGCAGTTATACCTTGACAATATATGACCCAGACTGTTCTTGTTTTGCACTATATTGTCCTCTTAAACCTCTGGTGCATGATACATGTGCCTACACACACATTTACTGAAGTATTTTCTATTGTAATCCCTATTGGCCAGAAAGCACTGGATCCACCACCGAAAAGGTAACTTGAAGGTTATGTTTTACAGTGCTCTCTGCCCTGGGGGTGCCAGGCCCAGGTCTGACACCACCCCGCTGCACAGCTTTGACTTTGGCTGCTGAGGAAGCCACTAAGCTGCGAGAATCCTGCAGGGAAAGTCTGCAGAGTAAAACCTTGTGAGATAAGAAAAGCAGAGGCAGAGATAGGGTTGCTGAGACAGATGTCATTAACAGTTCAAAGATTCAAGAGGAAGAACACAAAGACCAAAAGGTAAAAGGGTCCTAAGGGAGAGTCAGCAAACAAGTCAAAGGATGGGCTCCAGGGACCCTTCTCCTCCCAACCAATGTCTGCTCAGTCAGCAAAGGCTCTTCAGAGTTTATCAGGGAGGCAAGCACACTAATGCTTAGCTGGGATTTAATGAGCTGCCAGGCTGTTTTGTGTGTGTTGGCCAATAACCCATTATTTTATACTATTAAGGTATGTTTAATGGGATGATTTTTTCTTTTTGTGTGCACTGCTAAAGTTACCCAAACAACATAACCCAAAGAGAGTCAGTATAGCAACTTTTTATTAGAGAAAACAATACTTACCGACTTGCCCTTACTCTTAGTTTTTGCAGCTGTGGAGGGGGAAAAAACACAACCACAAGTTAATGGAAACTTTAAAACCACTGGAAGACATAGGAAAAGTTCAGCTCAAAACAAATCATGGAACAGACACAGTATTGTTCAGGATGAGTAAATTTTCAGTTTGTTAAAGGGGCACTTTTTGTGGTGCCAGGAGGTTATTAGGAAAAACTTGACTCAATTGCCTTTCATTTTTCAGACTATGCATAAACTCACATACACTCACAAGGGAAAAAAATAAATCAAGAAGTACTGAGAGACAACGCATCACATCCTACTATGACTGCTCACCATACATTATTCAAGGTTACGGTAGACCACGCTATCACCCACAGAAGATGGCTCCTCTTTTAATTCACTCTCATGGATGGGACCCTAAAGAGTAAGGGCTAGACAGAAGATGCCCTGCCAGGGTGGATTCTGAGTCCCGAAAAGACACAAACATCCCATAGTTCAGACTTAAGGAGGGCTGAATACATGGCCCAACAGAGCAATCCACGTTAGCAGGGATTCCCCTAACCTGGAGATTGATTTAGGAAGCCCTGGAAGCACAAGAGGGGTCCCATTGAGGTCAGCGGGAGCAGACAGAGGCTTCCAGCCCTGAAGTCACTTCCAGCTGCTCACGGCAGGTTGGCTGCCCCCGGGCAGCCCTCCAAGCAGCGTCCTGCAGCGCTTGCTTGGCTCGGGCTCGAAGGCCGAGCTTGCGGAGTTTCAGATAAAGGCCCTGTGCCCACATAGTGGATGCGTCAGCATTTCCTATAAAAGCACATGAGCGAGTTCAGTATCATTCAGATAAGACCAAGTACAAGATGTGAACTTTGAAATCCCTGCTTGCGGATGAAGTGTGCCCATAACAGATCTCTATAAGAAAAATACATTTGCCAAGATCATTATTTAGTCCATAGTTCACAGCAGATGGAAACAGCTGACAGCAACACTATAGTGTTTGACACAATACTGAATAAAGTTGCTTTCAAAAGTTATTAAAACAAGTTAATCTGATTCTTTCCTTCACTGCCATGAGCAGCTACCTTCACAATAGAGGAAGTAGTATTACACAGGTAAGTCAAGAATATATTTTCCTAGAAAACAAAGTTAACATCCAGAAAGTGCTAACACACCAACTTCAGGGCACGTGTAGATACCCAAGTCATTAGAGTTATTGGTAAAGTCCCTTACACAACTCATGTTTGCAGATATACTGAAGGATACCAAGGCATTAGCGATAGCGACTATTCCTTGATTATTTCCACTTGTTGGCCTTTCCAGCACACGTGCATCATACTGACGGTTTTTCACAACACATACAGGGAACATCACTGAGAAGCTCACTCTTGTCTGTTAGCTAGTCCTTGGGGAAAACATATCAAAGAACTTGCAGTTGGTTGGTTTTTTTTCTCCTTTCCAGAGGGTAAAAGTATCACCTCCGCAAGAAACCCTACTGAGAGGGCACTGCAGAGGCATTTTTTCCAGCAAACATTGGCTGACTTCAGTGTTGAAAGAGACTCACTTATTTCTCAACCGTTTTGACTTTACCCCTCTATCCTCCTTTTACAGCAACAGGCAGGAAACTCCTGATGGCATTAAAGCCAACATTTCAACACAGGCACCTAAACTGTCTGACAAACTCCACTGTCGGGCAGCTTCAGGGTTAGACCTACAAAAGCACAGAGCACCCTGCATTTTGCATCAATTTCAGCATAAATCTGGGTTTTGCTGGTGGCACATTGGAGCATTCCCTCCTTTGGGCAATCCTCGGTATCTCTCATTCTCTCCCCGCAAAGAACGACCTGCAGAACTGTTCATTTTTACCACAAAATACTAAAGAGCTTCACATTTTTAGAAATAAACCTCTAAGAAATGAAGCACTTCATACACTCTTAAGATATTAAAATATTTTTAAACAGCGTGAAGACAGAAGGCACTCGGTTCTTGACTTGAGCACTGAATCTAAATAGTTACTTATCAGTGGGTGTCTCATCTCCTTCCACATTTGCAGGCAAGGTGGGGGCCAGCCCACCGGCACGGCTCCCTGCAGTGGCAGGGATGCTGTGGGATGCTGCAGCTCTTGCAGGCCACGGTCCATGTCACGAGTTTGGGAACGCATTGCCTTGCGCCAGGCAGTCGTCACAGCAACTTCACCTCGTTGAAGTACTTCATGTCTGTGGCCTGGCTAAACCAGTACACAACCATGCTGTCCCTTTGGATGCTCCCGGCTCCAGAGCGAGCCCGCTCTCATGCCACCTGACTTCACAGAATCACAGAAACCCTAGGTTGGAAAGGACCTTCAAGATCATCAAGTCCAACCATTAATCCAGCGCCACCATGTCCCCTAAACCATGTCCTGAAGCGCCACATCCACACGTTTTTTGAACACTTCCAGAGATGGCGACTCCATCACCTCCCTGGGCAGCCTGTGCCAATGCTTGACCACCCTCTCGGTGAAGAAATTTTTCCTAATACCCAATCTAAACCTCCCCTGGCGCAACTTGAGGCCATTTCCTCTTGTCCTATCACTAGTTACTTGGGAGACTTGTGGCACAGCCAAGCCTGTTGCCTCTGCTGCTTGGAGCAGCCTTGCAGCACCTACACAAGGATGATGCTGCCATCAGGACAAGTGACTCCAGGAGTCCCTCCTTCACACCTCGCTATCCCAGAAAGACACTGACACGGAAACCATCAAAGCAAAGCTAGAAAGCAGCAAGCCTGATGTTAGATGAGCAGACCCAGCTGCTCTCTTCCCAGAGCCATCAGAATTTTCCCAGCTGGCTGCCCAAGCCAGCGAGACCCTGGTACCCCTCCGGGCAGCAGCACTGCTGAGCTCTGCCTGGCTCATCACTATGGTTGCCTGTCCCCAGCACACAGATTTGTCTGCTGAAGATGCAGTGATACTTTCTCAGTTTTCGGGCACCTCAGGTTCCTCCCTTAGACAAGACAAGGTTTCCCCAGCTGAGGAACCGCTTGCTAGGAGAGGCACACCAACCTGCTCAGACACTACGGGACCAAGGGTCTGGCAAAGGGCCATGGAGAGCTAGACCACAGAAAAACCTTATTTGTGCCTTTACTACTCAATGTTCCAGTTTAGATAGGAACAAATCTTCAGGATTAACTAGCTAAATGAGCTGTGCCCTCATCTGAGTCTTCCAATTGTGCTTCTACATATTTAAAGAACACTGATTAGGTCAAGCCTTTACTCTCTTGTGAAAAAGCATTATTTAAGAGCTATGAGAAACACCACATTTAACTTCTGCTAGGATCTAAAACTCCAAGCACCTTAAAAGTTTAAGGCAAACCTTACCAGCTAGGGGTTCAGCTCAAAGAGCTGACAGAGGCCAAGGCAACATGGCTTGGCTTTCACCAGGCTTCCGATGCGGGTTCGTACCAGCCCGGCTGCAGCACTGCCAGAGGGAGAGCTGCCCCAGAGGACGAGGGCTGGGGAAGAAGCGGTGGCCGGGAGACAGCCCAGAAGGTGCCCTCAGACCTGCACCGAGCAGCAGAGCCAGCCCCGGGGTCCCGGCACCCCTCGGCCACGCTGCTCACAGCCCACCCAGCACGGACACCCCCGCTGGTGGCATCCTTCCAGCGGCCCACCCCCCGCCGCCCCATAGCACCTACCCATGTTGCGAGCGCTCCGGGAGGGAGGCAGGGAAGGAGGGAGGGAAGGAGAGA